TCGATACTCCAGCAACAAACTTTTCAGTCTTGGAGCGCTTAATATTACAAGACATGTTAGTTTACCTCTCATCTTTTATGTCAAAGTTGGATTCCATCACGTGTAAAATTAGTTATTTCTAGGTGTGTGGTATTGGTGCCAAATAGCCGCCAACGACGGTCCCGCAAGAAACATCAACAGGAAAACGACAGCAAAGAAGCCATTGAAATGAAATGACCTCCCAGGAAGGGTTCAATCATGATTTTCGGCTCGGATCGGGCACTTTCCAGGCGAATTTCAACACGTCCCACTGCACCGTTAGTAACACTTCACTTTCGTACCGGTTCCGACAGGATTCGATCCCGTTATCAACGGTTAATCGAACACACTCCATTTTTTCTCTCTAAAAAAACCTATTGAGTTCTCCAAGCAGGATTTAACGAACACTACACTAATAATATTATTTTACACACACTAGCGTATACTGTCATGTGCACGGTAAGAATCAAACATCCATTTATGAGTAAAAGTGAACCCATTGTCAATAAAAGTGGCACTACTAATTAATGAGTAACTTATTATACCAATTGCGTAGTAGCTGTTAGCTACTGTTAGCAGAAACTCATTGTTGTTAAATAATTTACGCATTAATGAATAAAGCCACTTTTATTAAAATTGGGTTAACTTTTACTCATAAAAGGGTATTTGACTGTTATCGTGCAAGCGTAGGGTTTGTTTTCGTTTTGTTGTTTATTTTTTCTTTAGAATGACAGTTCTTACAGCAAACAAAAAATTTCTCACAGCTAACAAAAAATTTCATCTCACTAACACACGCAAATCGCACCAATACTATTTAGGTCCAATTCATTATCATCTTAGAACTTCCTCAGAAGTTTAAACTTTCCTGATATTTTATGCGTTTTCCTGATATTGTTCAAACTGCCTGAAAGATCTCTGAATTTCTTTTAAGTTCTCTAGATTCCTCCAAAAATGTTGATTGTTTTATAAAAGTTCCCAGTATTCTTTTGAACTTAAGTGAATTTCCATTTTCCTGAAGTTTCGAAAAGTTTGATGAAGCTCACGTAAATTTCCCCAAATCTTCTCCGAACTTCTATGGACTTTCCTGAAGTTTCCTAAATTTTCTTATGATGCAGAAATTTTTCTGAAAAGTACTCGGAACTTCGCTGAGTATAATTAAACTACCTTAAGATCTATGATATTCTTTTAAATTACTGAATTTTTTAAGAACTCTCGCAGTTTTCTTGATATTAATGGAATCTGCTATTAGAAACACGGAACTCTCCTTAAAATGTAACACCCCTAACGTTTCCAAATTTTTCATGAACCTCTCGGAACTTTGCTAAAGTTTTCATTAAAGTTCCAGCAATTTTCATTGAATCAATTTAACTGTCCTGATTCTTTCAGAGTTTCCCTGAAGTTCTCTCAGATCTCCTGAAGTTATTGGTTTTCTTCTTCTAGGCTTCTCACGCTTTTGTAGCGAGAGTTTTGCCAGCTCTCAACTTAGTGTTCTAGATGCGCTTTTTTCCAGAGACCCTTTTCAATATAAACAACAACAACAGTTCTAGATGCACATCCACACATATTAACACTGGCATTATATGCCAGCCAATGCATGAATTCGTATATTGTGCAGCAAGTACAATGATACGCTTTGCCCAAGGCAGTCGAAAAAAATTCCAACAAGATTTCCATGACAAGACCGATAATCGAATCCTACTTTGAACAACTGTGAAGATTCCGTCATATTTCTGATATTTTCTTAAGCTTGTGGGGTTATCTGGACTTTCTTGAAATTCTCGGACCTTCATTCGAAATTTTACAAAACTTTATATAACTTACTGATCTTTAAACTTACCAGAATGTCTGGACTTTCCTGATGTTTCTAGAATATCCCTGAACTTATTGGACCCACCCTTCAAAAATTCTCAGATTTTCTTAAAAGATCCTGTAGTTTTCCTGAAGCTAATGGACCCACCTGAGAACTCTTGGTGCTTCCCTGACAGGCCCAAAATTTTCCTAAACTTTTCGGAACTTTCCTTATGTTCCCATAGTTGGTTTATTGAAATTCTGTGCAATTCTCATTCCTCGGAACGTTTTAAAGTTCCTATTTGTTTTATGAAAATAATGGGACTGTGATGAGGCGCTCTTATCTTTCCTGAACTTCTCGCAATTCTAATGATCATGTTCCAAGAAATGCCCTGAAATTAATGGAACTGCCCAAAAGATCCTTAAATTTGCTTGAATTTCTATGGACTTCCGTGAATATCTTGGATCTTCTGTAGAGCTTTTAAAACTTTTGACGTAGGACTACGTCTGTGATTTCTATATGGGGGTACACTTTGTGAAAACCGAAAATGGAACATGTAACAAAATTATGAAAGATTTTGAACGTTAATAACTCAGCTGTCCCTGGACCAATTTCAATAATTTTATCACCAATCGATCAAAAATATTCCTACGCATCTGTCAAAGTTAAGGTTTTATCATTTTTCAAAATATCACTATTGAAAATTTTATGAATGTGCAATTGTTGCTATGATAATTAAAATAATCATCGATTGCCTGTGAAAAGTGATTTCCCTGACACAGATTTTAAAGTTGAATTCCATCCAGTCTCACCAAACGGTGTTTATTCAATCACTGCGTGGTGAGTGGTGGTGTTCTCTAGTACACAAAGAAAGGCTGCCTGCAAGCATGACCATCCATAGAAGGAGGAAGAAGCCACACAGCTATTGATCGGAATCAGTAGCTCTTCGTGAGTCGCTGTGGGCCATCTATGTCAATCGCGTCATACTAAAGAGCATAAACAGAGAGAACCCCGCTCAAATTCCTATTCCTGCAGAAAACACAAGCTCCTGCTGCAGTTAACAAATAAGATTTATTATATAAGACCACGTAGTCCTATGGCACCATTGCGTACAACCCCATAGGGTTGTCTCTTGAAGTTTTTTTTTTAAGATCACTAAACTTTCCTGAAGTTCCTTAAATTATTGGAACATTATGAAGGTTCCGGTTATTTTCCTGAAATCTGTAAATATACCTGCCGTGAAGTTTTCATAACTGCCTTGAAGTTCACTGAAAAAAATGTAGCAGTTTTCCTGAAGTTAATGGAACTGTACTCAAGCTCGTTGATCTTTACTGAAGTGAATTGCCCTGAAATCTTTGGGACTTTCGTGAGGCTATCGGATCATCTTGGAATCTTAATAAAACTTCAATGAAACTCAGAACATTTTAAAGGTCCTGAATTTAGACTGACGTTAACCCAAGTAACCATAGGCACGTTATTTCGCCTTTTTGGCTATATACAGCTGAACAACGGCTATACCAGTGTTTGCAAGTTCTGATGAGGCACGTATATAGCCAAAAAGGCGAAATAACGTGCCTATGGTTACTTGGGAATGGCACTATCTATGAAAACCAACCAAACAATCACTAGGTTAAATTGTTTAAATATGTTTAGATTATGTTTGCTCGTGGCTTTTGTTTTTTTTTTTATTTGGCGGAGTTTTTCTCAAAAAATTGTTTACATCACTACACAGAAATAAAATCGAAATATTACTGGTAATGTAAACATCCATGTGGGTAAACTTGTATTCCTTTTCAAGCAAAATAGCAACTTTCAAGCAATGTTGCACACAAAAATGTCCATTTTCATACAATATTTCAAATATTCCATGAAATGTCTCATAGCTTTACACGATTTTTAATGTAAACCTATATGACATATGACGTGCATATGACATATATGCATCATGTGGTCGGATTTGGAATGTTTTGACAGTGATTTGTTTAGAAAGTACACGTGTTTCAGTGGTGAAAGTTTCGTCTCGATACACGATACTCGAACAATGGAAACTTTAATATTTCCAAAAATCGTAGATCATCAACTTTTGGTAAAATTAATTAATTTGTTTCTTCACGTAATAGCTTTCAAATACTAATAAGAGCTGCATGAAATCCGTAGCAGCACGCTTGTCGCTAAGCAATTGTGGTTACTTGTGGGCAACTTATTCCAGTCACAATCAAGTTGCAGCAACTTATTTCCATGGAGTGTGCTGCTTGGGATATAAGGTACTGTTCTTAGAATTTCTTAGAACACTGTTAGTATTAATAGCTACACACTAAGAAAAAGTTCATTTGATGTCACGGAATCCATCTTTGACGTATAGGATGAGACGTAGACAAACATGTTAAATAAAATTAAATGCTTCAAGGCTGAAAAGTTTGTTACCCGACGAAAAGTACGTTTGATAGAGCTGAATTTCACGTCTGTTATGACTAAATTTTGTGTTTAAATATATATGTATATGTCAAACTCAGAGCAGCTAAATTCGCATAAATTTTAAATGAAATAAGATATTTTTTCAGTTGCCATGAATGTCACCTATGTATGCTATTGGAGCACACCTTGACCTACCGCCAAAGGAAAGGCAGAAAGCGCATATGCTCAGCGCACTGAGTAATATTTCCAGGAATCATATTAATTGCTAAAACATTGTTAAACAGCGACTAAGTATAATGGAAATGGGACCGCTAAAACGTAAAAAGACGTAATAGTCCGCGCGGTGTCTTTAAAGCAGTGACCAGCCATTTAAGTCACACCTCAAGCATATTTGGAATGCTGACTTCTCTAGCCGTATTGGGAAGATTCGTCGTCTTTCTTTATGCTTTGCCCCGTTGGCGAGCGAAAGGTGTAAATGAAGTAATCTTTTAAATCTTTCCGCTACAATAAGCGCACATTTTACAAACGCATATATGGAAAGTTGCTTGACTCACTATGCACCTGAGGTGAAACCGGTAGGTGTGCTTTAATAGAGGAGGGGCACTTATCAGCGATGAGCTAATTTTTTTTTGCTCTAGTCACCATGTGAACCAGGTTTCCCTGGAAAGCTGCGATCATTTTAGTTCGACGACGATGACGACGGGAGTGCTGTGTGTAATCGATGCAATTAAGAGCAATTGTTAATTAACACCGTACGTGTATTTCTGTTCGATTGCAGGTTCAAAAACGGCCAACCATACCCATGGGGAGGTGATATATCGTCACTAATTGTGTACCCGGAGGCGGCCAACCAAACCATCTACACTCATCGGATATCGGAAACGGATATTGGCAACTACTCATGCGTACTGCGGAACGACACCAGCATTATTCGGCACGACATTGAGCTACGAATGCAAGGTAAGCCCATGACGGACGTTTATTTGGTGATAAGAGAACCTAATCTACTTATGGTGGTTTAAGGTGATAAGAGTGGCGACTTCATTCAGTGCAGTTCTTTTAAATGATTTATGAAGGTAAATTGAGCATAAGTGGCTAAAACCAGTGCTGTTTTTGTGAGTGGCAACGAGTACTCAACGAATTCTTAGAAGTAAATTTAAAAAAATCAAATTTCCTGGGAAACACCCTACATTTAATCTTACCAAAGTATGCCACATGGGAAACGCCAAACACTAACGATTACGGAAAGTGAAATAATCTTTTGAACGGGAAAATCGTATCTGTGCTGTGGTTGTGAGTGGTCGTGTCCTTTGGTCATTTACTACTTAGCGCTAAAACCAATAAAAATATGTTTACCTTGGATGCGCCACGGCTTTAAGATTATAAAAAACGAAACAAAAAAAAAATACCTGGAAAATCTCACGAGTGCAGCACTGTGGTTGTGGGTGGCCGTGGGTAGTAATTGGCTACTAAGCACTAAAACCAATAAAATTCTAATAAATTATTTATTGCGCTGTTACGTGATATTTCTATTCTGATTTACATCGAGGTGTTTTACTTCACAATTAATATATTCTAAAAGAATGCAATCAATCTTTAGAAATCAATTTATTCAAACTTTTTGCTGGAAAACATTTACGTTCTGTTTGTACAAAACGTGTGCAACTACCCTACCCAAATACTCATATCAACACACAAGTGCCGCTAGCGTTTTTTTTTTTTTTTTTCTTTATTTTTTGTGATTTTTAGCCGTAGGCTAGTTCATCACATGCCGCTAGCGTAGTGTTATCATGCCTACTGTTCTGTTGTAAGATTGTAAATAAATTCAATAGTTCGTTCATCCATGGCTGGTTGGCTCAATAAGCAACCGTGTTTTATTTTCACTATCTATTAATCACACAACGTAGGGAAGTTCTGCCCGTGCGCGATTACTCTCTATAATTTTTTTTATGAGACATGAGAAGACACACATAAAATTGCCTGAGCTTTCCAGAACTTTAATAGAGGTTAACAATAAGAAAGGTTTTGTTTTTTTAATGCGTTAAAAATATAATATTTTTGATAACACTAAAAAAACGAAACTAAACATAATCGTGTTTAGGATATGACAATCCGTTTTAAAGAAACTGCTGATTGTAAAAACTCATTAAATTTTGAAGTTTAACATTTACTGATTTTTAGTAAGTCGATTATCCCTAAATATTCAATGCCTTGATGTTTCTTATTTCAAGTACAAGATCAAGATATGGAAAAAATTTAAAGTGCCATATTATGGAAAAAAATAAATAAATTATTTATTTCAAGTTTGTATTAAACTTTATGAAATGTAAGAGATGTTAAGTAGAGTCCCATTAACTTCATATCAATTGTAGGAACTTTACAAACGATCTGAGGAATAAAAGGAAATTTATAAGAGTGTCAGTGAAGCTTAACCCTTCGTCTGTACGAAAAAAATAAAAAACTTACGGTGTCTGTACCAATTTGACCCCAAATTCAAACAGTCATATCTCAGCAAAGCTCCAACGGTTTTCTGAAATTTCAAATGTTTTCTAAAGTAAGGGGCTGTTCATTAACTATGTAGATAGTTTTTTTTTTAAATTCTTGCCCTCTCTCCCCCTGCATAGAAAATTGTCCATACACATTTTTTTTTAATTTTTATGGGCCGTGGATACTTGCCAACCCCCTCCCCTCTACTAAACTGTCTACGTAGTTAATGAACAGCCCCAAATTTTTATATACTTTCAGTTTAAATTATCAAAGTATATTTTAGGAGGCGGATCTCTAATTTTTTTTTAATCCTTGTCAGGTGTTTTCATCACTGCGACCATTTTTTTTTGATCTATTGTGATATATTCCCTCTTTATTTTAGCTTGTTCAAGATGCCGTATTAACGGCGCCGGTGGTGTAGTGGTAAGCGTGATTACCTTTCACCCCAGCAGGCCTGGGTTCAATCCCAGTCGGCGCCGCCGGGATGTTCTGAGGCATAACATCTCTGATCACGTCTTCCTTCGGATGGGAAGTAAAGCCGTTGGTCCCCGGTTCATGAGTTGATGGGTCGATAGGTAGGGTCCAGGTGTGGGAGCTGCCTTCCTGGCACGTCGGTAGCATTGGTGCTCAGCACGGAAAACAAGATCGACGGAAAAAACAAACCAAAAGGAAAAAAAAAAAAAAAGATGCCGTATCACTATTATTAAGAGTGATCGCCATTGTTTGTCTAAAAGCATTATCCCAGCAAGGCATTACACTTCGAATAAAGTGCACTGCAGTACTGGGAGTTGTTCTCCAAATCTCAAAGGGTTCTATCAGTCCCTTGTCGACAAACTTACGCCTTTTTATTGAAAATTGCCGGACAGTGGCATAGCAAATGTTCCAAGTCTTCCTTTTCTATGCCACAGAAGCGACATACATCATCTTGAAGTTTTCCAACCAGCTTCAAGTGATAACGACTCGGACAATGACCTGTTATAAGACCTGTATACATGCTAAGATCTTTCTTAGAAAGTTCCAGGATTTTGTGGATCACATAAATGTTTGGATAAATGAATCGCTTCGACTGCCTAGCAATGGAAGTGTTCTTCCAGCTTTCCTCCACTTTTGAGGATTCCCACGTTTTTAGCTCCATTCTAAGAGATGCAGCCGATAAGCCACAAAAGGGCAGATTTGAGTTTTTGAGTTTTTCCGACATGACCAATTTATTTGTTTCGAACCATAATAAATCCAAGGTTAAAGCACAAGAAGCTCTCTATGCCCCACCTGTTCACTATGCCTCACCTTCCCCTAGGTCTGTAGGAGCGAGCGGTTCATCTTCGCCTTTATTTTTGACCAGCACGATCACTCCATCAACGAATACAGAAGGAAATTATCCTGCCAGCACCTCGTTTAAGATTAAGTTGTGTTCTCGATGGATGATATCGAAAGTCCGGTGGTAGAATACATCTGACCTTTTCGAACTGATTATTGATTTTTAATACCACTAAACATATACCATGAACATGTTTTCATTGTTAAGAGCAACTCAGGCGAAAAAATTTACATGAGAATATTAGCTTTTTACTCCCCTTCAAAATTAAACCTGTTGTGATAAAATTGGTTCAAAATTGATTGTATAACAGGTATTGCAAGTAAGCCTTAACTGTTTGGTTTTTGAACATACAAATCATCAAAATCAGTTGACTTAGTTGTTGTCAAAAATCGAAATCTTATCGCGAAAATGTGAGAAAACGTTATTTAATATGTGAGAAACCTATAAAAAAAAATAAAAAAATAAAAATTATAATTTATAGAAGTTTTCTCCTGGCTTCGACCACTGTGCCTCAGTAGCATTGGTATTCAGAATGGAAAAAAAATAAACAATGTCATGAAGAACAGATCGGTCAATGCGAACATGTTGCCTCCTCGACTCTCCCGCTGCGCTCATGTAACATTGAGTTTAACGTCGCAAGAAAAGCATGAGAACAAAAGAGACGACAACCCGCATCGCCAGACACTCCGATCAGCCAAAGGCCAAGCATGATCCCATCATCGCAAAACCCGAACAATAAATCAGCGTAGTCGTGGTCATACCGGGTAACAAAGGGAAGTGAGAGCACACTAAGTACTTCAGTAACACAAGATAAAACATCTGCAAACACTTATTCAATCAAACCAAATGATCGCGCATGGTACACAAAACTAAAAAAAATGCCACCACCGCGCTTCTAAAACACATCGGATAAATCCCTATTAGATCAGTGTTCACTCGGCTGTCGACAGAAGCAGACCACTCTCGATGTGTGTTACGTGATCGGCTGTTTACTCGGCAGCAGCCATTGTGTGGTCCTCCTCATTGTTCTTGATCAGCAGTTCTTTCGGTCGATGTGTCGTCGACTTTGGAAAGCAACCGTTTAATGATGAGTGTGTGAGTGCTGACCACGTTTTGCGTCCATTGCTGCAATGGAAGCGCTCTGACCCCTGTTGGCGTAACTGTCATACAATGAAACCACTGGAAGCGGCTCCTGGAGGAGGCTTTTTGGATAACGGAAGATAAAGTGCTTATTGTGTTGTACCTTTTGACTATAGTTTAAAGATGTATTGTATAGTGACCAAGAATCTTCGGCTTTGTAAAGTTAATTCGTTTGAGCCTTATCAAATAAATTAATAAACATTTTTTTCCCAGCCGGCTCCCTCATCACTATCACTTGCTTCAACCAGCCAAGAGACAAGCCCAAACACTGCATGACCAAACGCGACCGCTCCATGCTTCTTAAGCACACACACGTCACACTACCGCGTAAACAAATGTTGACATATCACACCGCCTCCACCAAACAACACATCACAAACGATCAAGGCCAGGGAAACAAAAGGGAATGTGGTATCAACCCGAGCCAAGTCTGAGATCAAAATGAAATCTAAATTTGATGTTGTGATTTTGCTGATAATGATTACTCAGGTTGTTGTCGTTTTGGTCGTTTTAACGGTTAAACTATCAAAATTGAGAGCAATTAAGGGAATGAAAACAAAATATGGTATCAAATCTGTCAATTGCGTAAACTGATAAACAAATTATGATTTCAGTTTGATGTTGATATCATTTTGATGCTGGACTTTGCTCGGGAAGCTATCGCCACGGGACCTGAAGAGAATTAAATTTGGCCACGCACCAGACCCAGAGCTAACACTCTCGACCGATAGCTCCGGCTCTACCTACAGCACTTCAATAGATGTATGAACTTTTGGCAAATTTGGTTTTGAATGAAAACCTGCTTTTCAATTTTTGAAAATTAATGACTTCCCCTTTCACCTTTATTGTGTAGCAACTCAGATTTACTGTCTTGTTCTTGTTTTTCTTAGTCAGAAGCAGAGCTTCAAAATGAAGCTTATTTTAGAATCTTCTAAAAAAATGCTTCTGTTAAAATTTTCTTTTCTGTCTCGCAAAATCAAAATCAAAATTCTTAAAGGATGTATTCGATAGAAATGGCACACAGAAAATCTTCTGTAACTTTTGAACCGTATGAGTAAAAAGCCTGAAAATTTGAGTAAATCTTATTCATAGTGTATTGTTTACATCTGTCAAGTTTCATAGTTATTCATGCAGTAGTTCCAGTCAAGTTGTCGAAACAAGAAATTGTCCGTGAAAATTTTTGTGCAGTTACAATCAAAATCCAGATGTGTCCCTCTGATGGATCGCTAAAAAAAATTGGATTTGCAAATACAACTGTGTTTCGTGCGATAAGAACCTTCAAGGAGCGTCTGAGTGCGCGAAGGAAGGAAGGGATTTGTCATAAAAGTGGTCCAACAGTAAAATGGCCAGGAAAGTGGTGCAACAGTTCAAGAACCATCCAAACATGTCAATTCGAGATGTCACTAAAAAGTTCAACGTGTCAGCCGGTTTTGTGTAGGAAACCATGAAGCGTGCTGGGTTACATGTTAACAAGGTGCAAAAAGCCCCAAACCGACATGAAAAGCAAAACATCACTGCGAAAACTCGCGCCTGGAAACTTAACACGAAGTTGCTCACCAAATCGTGTTGCATCGTGATGGATGACGAAACTTACGTCATGGGCGACTTTCGTCAATTTCCTGTGCAAGAATATGTCGTTGCCAAATCTAAGTTCAATGTTCCGGAGGATGTTCGAAAGAAGATATTATCAACATTTGCAAAGAAGTTCCGATTTGCGGATGTGGTGAAATAAGCGCTCCCGTCATCACTTCCGGAACAATCAACGGTGCGATTTACACGGAAGAGTGCCTTAAGAAGCGTCTCATAAGGAAGCACAAAGGATCAACAACTGGTACCGAACCAACGGAGTCAATTTTGTGCCAAATTCACAGGAACTTCACCCAAATGAGAAATTCTGGAAAATATGAAAACGGATCTTTGCAAACATCCCAAAACTATTAAAACAGAGCTAGAGTTGAAGAAAATTTGGGTAAAAACAACAAAACACTGGGAAATTCGGTTGTATACAATTTGATGGGTGGAGTGAAAGGTGAAAGCATTCGGGATGGGAGACGAAATTTAATAAAACAAATTTTGTTAATCATAACTCATTAGTAATTTTTCAGTCGCTGAAAATTTCAAGAAAATCCGATAATTGGTTTAATTTTGGTGAGAATACATGTGTGTGCCATTTTTATTGAATACACCCTTTATACGTCCAGACAATTTAATTGAATTCTGAAATTGTTTTGTTATTCCGTTCTGGATGGATTTCTGAGAAAAAATTTATGTGCACCCAGATGAATATGATCAGAATCAGCAATGTTAGCTCAACTTAAAATCTGATTTTTTAAGACAACGTGAAACTCAGTTGAAAATAAATACTTTTCCCCTACATATATTTATAAAATAAAGTCAAAGCATGGCTCTCTTTTAAATATAATATAAGGTAATTGTTATTTCTCTGATAATAAAATTAGTCACTTTCTATTGGTACAAGCTAATCCAAACATGTTATCATTAGATTGAAAATACATATAACTTTAAAACAGCAACTCAAAGAGAAAATCGATGAAGAGAATCGATCATCACAGCTAGGCCATTAGGATTCTGAACGTTGGAAATGTAATGGACAAAACTTCTTTTTGTGGCCTGATCAATTAAGCTTATGTTAACTATATAAATTATATAAATTAACTATGTTTCAGATGAATGTAACAGTTTGAAGTGGTGCTCTTGTCCTCTTCTGCAATGGTGCTCACCTTAGCCACGTTATATTTACTGGTGTGTGTTTTTTTTTTATCCCGTTGAACCACAGTAGAACAACTCAACCGGAACAATATTGCACGATAACCTTGTCCATTAACAGCCAAAAGTCAAGCTCAACTTTAGGGAGGTAATTTTATCACTTCCTATCTCAACTTGTTGCTCCATAGAACATTTAATCTCATTGATTTGAGTTAAAAATAAACAACATTGGCGCATTGCCTCCCCTTGAACCACTTACCTTTCTCTGCAATGAAGGCAGTCGTTATTTTGCGTTGATTCAATTTGGGACGGTTTTATACCTTTGATCAAACCGGCACTACCGTTTCCTACGCCTCCGCCACTATTTCGTCGCTATGAATTTCTTTCAGCTCACACTTTCCACCCAAACGAAGCACTACCTCATAACCACTAATTCGGCGCAATAACACAATTATTAGACCAACACCGGCTTCACTTCCACCATTCTTGCCCGCGCTCTGATAACTGATCACTTTCGTTGACCTTTCCACAATTATCTCCTCTCCGCAGAAGACAAACCAGACTACCCGCTGCCGACGTTCAAACCGAAAGATGTGATCATCAACCTGGGCGAGACGGCACGATTCTACTGCGAGGCGTTTGTGGGAAAGCTCGATCTACCGGATGCAACCAATAAAATCGTGTGGACGCAGATGTTCGACGACAAACCAGCTTCCATAATGGATGCGAATCAGTTGAACGTGACGAGGTGCGTGTGTACTGCACATTTATTCATTGGCACAGTTTCGTGTCTATGAACAGCTGACTAACTGATAACATTCTTTTTCAACTACCGTAGGGAGGACGGTCAGATTGTTGGTTCCTATCTGTCAATACCGAAAATTCAGCAGCATCACTACGGTCGATATCGTTGCCAAATAACGTCCGGAAATCTCGAGCGACCACTGGAGCTGAGCATGGAACTTTCACCGGCTCAGGTGACCGCCGTCGCAGAATCGGAGTTTGAGTTCCGAATAATGATAACCTTTGTGTCTGTGGCGATCGTGCTCTTAGTATTCTTGTTGTTAATCTGTAGGACAAATATTCGAAAGGATCATAATGACAATCGCTGTTCGGCACAGTTTATCGCAAATAACGAGAATGTGTAGACATTTGTTGCTGTGTTTAGAATTTAAGGACATTCTCCTTTTCGAAATTAATTTATTACTCCCGATTAGAGCTATGAGCTGCAATTGTAATTTATTTGTTCAATAATCCTCATTAGTGTTAAGGTCCAAAATTAAGCTTAAATTTTTCGTTTCGTTTAGTTAGACAATGTAAATATTTTCAGTACAGCCCAAAGGTGAATCGTTTAACTCGATATTCCGCTGTTTTGTGACCGAAGCGAAAGTGGGTGGATCCGTGTTTGGAAATCCATTTAAGAGACTGACTTTTGTGATTTTGTAGAGGTCTATTTTTCTGTACATGCTGCTACCGTTAGATGTATAAGTTCATTTAAGCAACGGTACAAATATGCATTCGAGTAAACGATTCAGTGACAAATAGTCACTTGAAGAGATCGTCTGATCCGAGCTTAATAATCTATTACACAGAAGAAAATAAAACATATACAAATTGAAACTACTGGTATACACGTTAAACGTCAAACAATGGTGATTACAAATGAGCGAAAATCAATGTTGGCTTTCCGATAACTAAACCGTATGTTTTATTGTTGTTAAGTTGACTAAAGCGTCGGTTAGCTAAAAGCAATAAAAATAAAACTTTTTGACTTATAGTATTCATATGATTCAAGCGTGTTGTCAGAGTTTGTTCAAATGCGCCCGAAATTTGAATCCCTAGATTGTACCAGTGACAGGAAGCACAAATTGGTGACCGTTTACGTTCTTCTCGATCATTCCTTTTCCTTTCAAACCTAGTTTGAATCTAATGTAACGCAACGTAACGTTTCTTCATCCTCAGTACGTATAATTTAGGTGGTAATACCATTTCTGTGTCATACAATCAACCGATATTGATATATTCATGTATGTACTAGCAGTGAAGGATATGCGTACTTCTGCTGTAAATTTAAACGCTATCATTTGTAATGAAAATAACCTAACAACAGGATGTTGTTTTGAAATACCTGTGAAACAATACATTTGAGAAAAAAAAAACATGTTGTAGAATTACAATTCCCATAAAGGCTAAGCCCCAATGGTGTTTGAATGTTGAAAGAAATCTTCCCAAGTTTACAAATGACGTAGCCCTTCGAATCCTGTCCAATTTTTTCTCCACAGGTTAAACGTTTTTCAATAGTCAGGCATTGCCTATTTCATAACAAGTTTCAGCTGCCACTTTTCCATTATCTAATCTCAAAACTGCCACCTAATGCTAGTAAGTAAAATTATGTTGTAGTTCCCATTGGTTATTATTTTCATTTATCAAAGATTTCGATTGAAATCTCCATCTTTTGACGTAGAACTAAGTCTTTGTCGACTATACTGGGGTACAAATCAAAAAAATATGTGTGGGTGTTAGGTTTTGAACGCTTGTAAGTTTTTCATTTATAGTTGAAATTAAAATAGAAATACACCAATCCATAGAATATTACTTAACGAATCTGCTGAAATAAAAACTTTTCCAATTTTAAATCAAAAAACTTTTGAAAAATGCGCGATATTTTTATCACTGTTTTCATGAACTAAACGTTTTCCCCAAACCCAGTCATCATAAACGAATACCACTTGGTTGCACATCATTCTGCTAGAACCTGAAAAGATATAAAACAGCACTGCTTTCCTGCCTCTGCTCATTACCGCTTCGGACGGCGTGGCCATGACCACCACAATGAGGATTGAGACTTGGAAAATTATGTATGTAAAACCCCCTTCCCCTTAACAACAACCCGAAAAAGACATGGACTTTGACGATCACTTTTTTCCGGGAAATAAATTTTAAGCGAACCACAATTAGGGCTGTTCATTAACTACGTAGCCAGTTTTTTAGGATTCGTAATCCCCCCCCCCTCCCCTGCGTAGACAATTGTCCATACATTTTTTTTTAATTTTTATGAGCTGTAGATAATTGCCAACCCCCCCCCCCTCCTTAAACTCTGTTTACGTAGTTTATGAACAGCCCCTTATAAGTAAAAACACTTTTTTACACTCAGAGTCAAATTTTCAAAAAAAAAATTGCTTAAGAAGAGACAAACATTCGATGAATTACCAACAACTGGCTGTAAGACATATCTGGTACCTCTATATATGCAATTAGATTAACATCCAAAGTCCATCCTTTTTTACATATTCTGCACAAAAGATTCTGCCCCGTAAAAAAACGACGGGAAATCCTGTCAGGTGCGGTTGCACATCGTTCTACTTAAACCTGAAAAGATATAAAAAAGCGCTACTGTCGTGCCTCTGCTCATTGCCGCTTCGGACGGCTGCAGGACCAAGTCAGCGGCTAAAGGTGGATCACGGCGTGTCCACGACAATGAGAAATGAGACTTGGAAAATTATGCATGGAACGGATAGCCTCGACAGAACTGAGACTATCCGTAAAAATAAAGTAGTGGTCTGGAAGAAGTGAAGCAATAGTTTCCAAAGTGTAGTGAATTGCTGCCAGTTCAGCCATATACACAGAACAAGGAGCTTCAAGTTTTCGAGAGGCGCTATGAAATTCATTAAATACACCAAAACCAGCGGACTCCTCTATTAGAGATCCATTTGTGAAAAACGTTCTTGCAGAATCAACATGGCCAAACTTTGCAGCGTATAATGACGGAGCAATCATAGGACGATGATGCTCTGGAATTCCGCGGATTTCCTGCGTCATAGATAAATCAAAATTCACTGAATTGCCGACATCGGAGCAGACTACACGATTGGGAATATTTCTTGAAGGGCTGACATCCTGTGTTAAATATAGGTAGTACAAAGTCATAAAACATGTTTGAGGATTTAGCTCCAGAAGCTTCTCAAAGTTTTCGATCTCCAGTGGGTTCATTACTTCGCAATGGATGAGGAGCCTCAGAGATAACTCTGAAAAACGGACAGATAGTGGCAACATGCCCGCCAGCACTTGGAGACTCATAGTATGAGTCGAGTGCATGCATCCTAACGCGATACGAAGACAACGATACTGGATCCGTTCCAGCTTGATGATGTGCGTTTTAGCTGCCGACTGGAAACAAAAACTACCATATTCTAGAACCGATAAAATCGTTGTCCGGTACAACGTCAGAAGATCTTGTGGATGGGCTCCCCACCACGTTCCGGTAATTGATCGAAGAAAATTGATCCTTAGTTGGCATTTTCGTCTCAGATACTCAATGTGGGATCTCCAGGTGCATTTGGAATCGAACCAGACCCCGAGATATTTAAAAGATATGGAATGAGTGATCGGTTTACCCAAAAGTTGAAGCTTCAGTTGTGCTGGGCTATGCTTCCTAGAAAAAACGACCAACTCAGTTTTCTCCGTGGAGAATTCGATACCTAGCTGAATAGCCCAAGTAGACAAATTGTCCAAGGTATCCTGTAAGGGTCCTTGCAGGTCAACCTCTTTTGGCCCTGTGATAGACACTACGCCGTCATCTGCAAGTTGTCTCAACGTGCAATTGTCACTAAGACAATTGTCAATTTCTCTAACGTAGAAATTGTACAAAAGGGGGCTTAAACATGAGCCTTGGGGGAGACCCATGTAGCTACATCGAAAAGCTGTAGAGTTTTCATGAGAAAAGCTCATATGTTTTTCTGACAGCAAATTGTACAAAAAATTATTCATTAATGGAGACAATCCACAAGCGTGGAGTTTCTCTGAAAGAACTTCAACGGATACTGAATCAAAAGCCCCCTTGATATCCAAGAACACAGAAGCCATTTGCTCTTTCTTAGCAAAAGCCAACTGAATTTCCGAGGAAAGCAACGCTAGACAGTCGTTCGTTCCCTTACCCCTACGGAAACCAAATTGAGTATCTGAAAGAAGGTGGTTCGTCTCAACCCATTTGTCGAGACGAAAAAGGATCATTTTCTCCACCAATTTCCGAATGCACGACAGCATCGCGATGGGCCGATACGAATTGTGATCCGACGCGGGTTTATCAGGCTTTTTAATGGCTATCACCCTTACTCGTCTCCAATCGTCGGGAACAATATTGAGCTCCAAGAACTGATTGTACAAGTTCAACATGCGCCTCTTAGCGACGTCTGGGAGGTTTTTCAGCAAGTTGAACTTGATTCTATCAGATCCCGGGGCAGAATTGCCACACGAAAAGAGAGCGAGTGAAAGTTCCACCATTGAAAAAGGCTGACTGATTTCGTCTACCGAATTCGCGGTTTCGCGAGGAATCAACTGCGACCGCACGGAATCTGGACACACTTTTCGCGCGAATTTAAGAATCCATTGATCCGAGCATTCCTCGCTTTCGTTGTTAGTAGACCGGTTACGCATTCTTCGCGCCGTACTCCAAAGCGTATTCATAGACGTTTCGCGCGACAATCCGTCTACAAACTGCCGCCAGTAACCCCGTTTTTTGGCCTTGATGAGGCTCTTGAGTTCGCGTTCAAGAGATGTGTATGCGTCGAAATGCTCGCGTGTTCCGCGTTTCCGAAAAAGTTTAAACGCGTCGGACTTTTTACGGTAAACCTCCGTGCATTGTTGATCCCACCAGAGCAATGGTGTTTTCTTACGGATTGACGATCGCGGCACCGGTCGTGTTTGTGCTTGAAGTGCGCTGTCGACGATGAGATTAGAGAGGAAATTATATTCCTCCAACGGCGGAAGCTCTTCCACTGACGATACTGTATCGTCTATCGCGGATTGGAACTTAGTCCAATCGATGTTACGGGTTAGATCATACGCAACGTTAACGGATTCTGACGAGTTGAACCCAGTGGCAAACGAAATTTTGATCCGCAGATGATCACTACCGTGCGGATCCTGGATTACATGCCAAGTGCAATCCAACGATAGTGAATTGGAGCAAAAGGTGAGGTCTAATCTGCTACCATTCGAGGATGGACCAGCCAAACGTGTTACTTCTCCATTGTTAAGTATTGTCATGTTGAAGTTGTCGCAGAGATCATAAATCAAAGTAGAACGGTTATCATCGTACAGCTCCCCCCAGCCTGTACCGTGGGAGTTAAAATCTCCCATGATCAACCATGGAGCGGGACTGCGGAAGATAAAGTGTTTATTGTGTTGTACCTTTTGACTATAGTTTTAAGATGTATTGTATAGTGACCAAGAATCCTCGGCTCTGTAAAGTTAATTCGGTTGAGCCTTATCAAATAAATTAATAAACAAAAAAAAAAAAAAAACCATGGAGCGGGAAGTACCGCACATATTTCGAAAAGTTGTTTGCGATTAACAGAGACTCTAGGAGCAATATATACAGAAGCAATGCAAAGGCTCTTACCTTTAATGGTAGCCTGACATGCGACAACTTCAATACCGGAGAATTCAGGAAGATTCACTCTATTGAAGGAATGGCACTTTTTGATCCCCAAAAGTACCCCTCCTCCACGTGAATCCTCACGATCCAATCGAATAATGTTAAAATCATAAAAAGGGAGATCAATTTCTGAAGAGAGCCATGTTTCACAGAGGGCAAATGCATCGCAATTATTGTTATGGACTAAATACTTGAACGAATCTAATTTCGGAATAAGACTTCGACAATTCCATTGTAGAACAGTGATCAAATCCCCGACCTCGTTTGGAAAATTATCCATCGAAGGAGATGATAGCTGCAAGAAGGATTTCACAGTGGGAAGCAATGTGAGGACAATGCTTTTCAGAGGATCAGAAATGTTGAGGTATTTGAGAATACCGTCCACAATGTCATCAAATGAGAACAGCCCAGATGAAGAAGGGATTTCTGTTCTTAAAATTGGGGCATCAGGGGTTTTGGATGTCCCCGGAAGAGGTGGAAAATCCTGGGTATAGTCAGTTCTGCGGAATCCAGGAGGAGTAGAAGCATAGAGGTAACTCTAAGACCGCTGGGTCCCGAAGAATATCATTATTATTTTTGGCTCACTCAGTACCAGAACAACGGTCCCAAGCAGTCCCAAGCTATTTCACTCACCCCTGCATGTTCTGCATGAATCCACACACCCCTGATGTTATCTGTCAAACTTTCATAGCGAATCAAAACAAACATAGTGTAGTAATAGAATTTCAACTAGAATAGGGTACGTTAATCGTTTGCT